GTGCAATGCGATTAGAGGCAGGAAGAGAAGCCCAGTTTCTTTTCACTTAACTGGCCTTGAACTTGGAGTGCTGAGGAGTAATTGTGTTGCGGGATGACAGGCAGCCCTGTCTACTGTCACGGGAGGGTGGGAACTACCTGGTGCAGCAAGTTAGAAAATGAGAAGCAAGCTTGCCTGCCGTAATTTGATCAGATACCACGGGACTGCCGGAAAGTCTTGCGCATCACCAAATACTCGAGTTATCTGTGGGGGGCTGTGTGGGGGCCCCGCAACTAGGCTGTGGCAGAGCGCCCCTCCTGCCTCAGCCATCGTGTGTCTCAGTCTTCATGTCTCCCGCTGGCATCTCCTGGTCTCTGTCCTCATCTTATATACCATGTGTCCCTGAGGGGTGTCGCACCTGTGTCCGAGTCTGCTGTAAGGTGTTCAGTCTACCTCAAGGGGTCATCATGGTCAGCTCTGTCCCGTAGCAATCCTTTGGACGTCGCCACACACACTGGAATGTATATCTGCCCCTGGCTCTGCCTCCCCGTCAGTAACCTCCCGGCCCCATCTTCCCTGTAATCACCACGAACTCCTAGTGCAAATTGGATGCTGCTTTAAATGTGAAAACAATTGTTCAAAAGCTATAAAACCTGAATGAAAGCTAAAGCTGAATTTATAAGCCTTGTTGCGTATGAGCCAAAAGTGCAAAAAGCTCTATATAATGAACTAACCTGCCACTCGTATAAATATAAATATATATAAATATATTAAAATCAGACTGTTCTACAAAATTGTGTATTTGTATTTTTGTGTACGTACAATTTTCTGCTAAGCAGAAGGAGGATGTAGTATAGGATGCTGTGAGAAGAGATTTGGTTTAATCCTATTTCTTTGTTACTTATTTTTGTTAACATCAGATGCCTGTCTTTGTCTTACATGTGTATGACACTGTTTGGAAAGCTGCAGTATCTCTCTTCCTAAGTTCAGAGTCGGTTGGAGAATGAAATCTGGGCTTTAGAGAGCTGTCCAGGCCACCAAACTTGGGTAAGTGGACAGAGCTCGGCCTTGTACCGCCCAGGGGCCGTTGGTGGTCCTGAGGGGGACTGAGGGGGGCAGGGCCTCTGGGAAGCAAAATCTCACTCCTAGAAATCAGCTTCCAAAAGAAAAGTGTCAGCTCTCTCTACCAGACTCTCCACTAGGCCCACCGGGAGGGGACACAGGATGTCTCTGAACTGAGGGACAGGACCTCTTATCTCTGGGCCAGAAGTTTGCCCAGAAAGCAGCAGGGGGTCTGCCCGGCTGTCGTGCCAGCCTCTTGGCCATCCCTGGACTCCATGCCCCTCTTTGAGTAGTTGCTGCCTTTTTCAGATCAGGTTACCAAATACGCCTCCCCTCTGCTGAGCTGCTGGCGCTTCTCCACGCAGACCTCCAGCCCAGCTCCCTGGACCGTCTCAGAACCCACCTTCCTGGTGCTAACACACACGAGGGGGGTAGAGTGGCTGCCAGTAATGGTCAGGAGTCTACCACCTGAGAGGCCAGGCCGGAAGACGAGCCCGTGCCCAGGGCAGTTGCCCCTTCCACGACCCCACTGCCCACCCACCTCTCAGCCCGCCACAGTCCCTCCTGACGTGAACCTTCCCTAGGGAGAGCGATACTGCACCTTCCTCTGTGGGACTCATATTTATAACAA